GTACCGGTACCGACGGACGGTACGTAGTACGTACGTACGTACTATCTCTCTCTCTCTCTTCTCTACTATATATATATATATATATATATATATATATATATATAAGGGATGAACTGAAAACAAAACTGTTGGGACTGAAGATAAAAAATGGTAGTAAATAAGTTAAATCCATATGGGTTAGAATAAACGGTTTCATGGGAAAGGTTTTTAACTGGGAATTGTTATAGGCAACCCAAACAAACAAATAATATTAATGAGAAATTGTATAGTGAGATCAGGGTTGTTACTAATAAGAATCATGATACAATTATAGAAGTTTAATGTTAGGCACATTAACTGGGATCATGTGCAGTCAAATGGTGCAGAAATTAAGTATTTTACAGAACTGTTCCTTATCTAAATGTAAAATGTAGCATTCAATTTTATGGAAAAATGAAACACAACTTGTTCCTTATTTTGCCAGGGTTTTTTAAAACCTTAGTTTGTGACTTGGCTAAAAACTAGTAAACACCAACAAAAGTGTTCTTTTTAAGAACTGTTTAGGTGGCAACTCTAGAGGAAGATATATTGAAGTGGTTTAGAATGATTTTCTATACCAAATGATCAGAGTCAACCAAAGAGAATCCCATTTTACATTTATTGTTTACTACTAATGAGGATATGGTTGCAAGAGTTGGTGTAGAGAAAATATTAGGTAAGTGATCAATGCATTATTAAGTTTGATGTTATCCTCACTTTGAGAAGAAAAGAAATGAATTTCCTAACTTTCATTAATTGAGTCTCACTTTGATTATGATGTACAGTCTCATTATATAAGAGAAGAAAGATCTATTAAACAGATTCCAAATCAGGCTACAAGGATGAGTAGTGATAGTAGGGTTATCTTACAGGGACAGTTTAAGATATCTTATTTTCCCTTAAGAAAACAAGGGTAAGAGGCAATATTATTGAAGTTTACAAGATTATTTGGGTGATCAACAAGATAAAGGTCTTTGTTTTATATTACAAAAACAACTGGACAAAGAGGACACAAGTTTAAGATTTGTAAAAGAAAAGCTAAGCTCCAGTTAATTACTGTTTATCTGAAGGAACGATTTGTTGTCAGCTGTAGTGGACAATAATTTAAGAGGAATTATTTTCTGAAAAATAGTGTGTTAAGATTTTTTCTTAAAAGTGGATATGTACAGACAGCCTTGAAGGACCAAAGTCCTCTGTTCTGTGTATGTTATTTCTTTACAATGACACTGGATTAAACAGTCATATTCAAAATTTGACAAGTACATAATTGCTACAATAGGTTATTTTGTTGAAATAATGCTTTCAATAAACAGAACAAGACTTAATATTTTAAAATACTTTTAAATACTTCATTAAAAATTGATTTCATAAAATGAGGTATTCAATAAAAAAATCTTTACAAATAACTTGTGTTACATTGGTTTGTTGCATTTATAAATTACTTTTCTTTTTACCTCACAAACACAAGGGTAGTCAGACTCCAGAAATACTTGTTTGTAGTCACAGCCTTTTCTGTTTTGAACTTCATGCCCAGTGTCAATACAAATTATCATAGAAAATGTGAGACAACTGAGCATGATTTTTACAGTTATAAATATAACATAACACTGAAGGACAACAAGAGACCTTTTTATTCATTTTTAAAGTTTTCAGAGCTGACTGAAGAATGGAAACCATTTTCAATGAACACAACAAACAACTTCAAAAATATGTTTTTTATTCTACCTGACATTTTGGCTTATGCCTTTTTTAAGGGTCTTCAAATATCACAGGTTACAAAACCGATTTTAAAAAACCCATTTAAAAAGGTGAAACAAGGGCAGTTTGTCCATACAGGCTGTACCATCCATTAAACTATGAAAACAACCAAAAATACTCAAAGCCAGCTCTTATCATTCAAATATTTATAATACATATACACACACACACACACACACATATTATTGTCTATAAAGCATAAACTGAAAATATTAGAAGTTTTATAACAGTGCATTGTTTGTATTTATGGCAAAGCTAGTACAAGTACTACTGATATTGCTATCTGCTGTTCCTAATTTTGATTTTGAACTATTGACTAGAGGGGACAGTCTACCTACAGATTACAGTATACTAGTTACTACAACATATGCTAAGAAATAGTGTCAATCTTAAATAATGAACCCACATCCATGGCGCATCTTGAGTCTAAACTATCGTACAATTCCTATTAGTATTACTGACGTCACACTTTTATAAATAAAGTAGGCCTAATTACTTGTACTATCGTACAATACCTATTAGTATTACTAACGTCACACTTCTTATAAATAAAGTAGGCCTAATAACTTGTACTAACCCAGTACTCAACGTTACTGGTATTAATAATAGGAAATAGAAGTACAGTTAAGTGACTTATTATTACGATGTTACATCTAATGAGTAATGGTTGTCTAATGATTTTATTTTTTACGTTATAACCGAACGTTATCTTGTACTAATGTCGTGAGTAGTGACTGTAAAAAAAAAAAAAAGAGTAATACTATATTACCTGTCTCAATAAGCATTAACTTCTTTATTAATTACTATTAGTATTATTAAAATAGGACACTAACTAGTTAACTTTTAAGCAATGTTTACATTACAACACTCTACGCGGAAGAAAGGAAACTATTGCTTTTGCCTTTATTTTGATTAAAATATTTTAAATTTAGCATTTGGATTGTAGAACTAACCCAAATTGAAGTACAAGAAACAAATACGTCATTTCTAAGCATAGATTAAAATTATATCTACGTACCTACTATATTAACACTGTAAGATACCTAGCACATATTCAACTTGCTTCTTTATCAACTTTTTCACAGCATAATAACAGTACTAATCTTTAGATTATTGTTATCTTTTTTTTTTACTTTGCAAACATCCAATCACCTTTAACTTTGAAGGAAAATACTTGAAAACACTTGATGACGTCTACGAATTTTGTCTCAAGTACGCCCTCTCATGAAATAGTTGTTTAAACTTCCTAAATGCAGACAAAATGCGACAGTTTAAATGACGAATTATAATGTATAAGCAGTAACCACTTGATAGTATTTGCAAAACTAACAAAGCTTAAAAAGGACCCACCCAAATTATATATGAATGGAACACTTCTCCAGACCACAACATCAGCCAAATTCTTAGAATTAAACTACGATTCTAAATGAACATGGGTTAAACACATAAATAATATTCTAACCAAAGTTTGTCAACGTATGAAATATGCCAGGACTCTAACGGACAAAAACAATGGAACTTCAGCTGAAAACATAATTAAAATCTACAAAACATATATACGCACAGTAATTGAATATGCATGCCCAGCATGGATAAACATAGCGCCAAAACACATCAATGAACTACAAAAAATACAAAATTTATTACTCACCTCTGCGTACAAAGCACCCAGATACACTTCATCAAAATTTATGCACAATTATGCAAATATACAAACTATTTCCGATAGACTCCTACATAATTCACTAAATTATGTCACGAGAAATTGGCACAAAAATTACCTTCTATGTGAATTAGATCGCTACTGCATACCTGATGGGGATAGCCCTAATTACCTTTCATCAATTAATATATTTGTTAAGGATAAGGCTACCTAACGCTAGACCAAAAATCCCACGTTAACTTAAGGCTGATGCGACAGCATTTAAAGGGTATTTATGTAAATGCTCTCGATTAGTGTAAAACTGTTCGCTATGTGCAGGACTTTGCAACACTGAATAAAGAGATAATGTATTTATTCACACGAATAGAAATATCATAACATTTTGGAACAACATGTAACTTATTGGTCTATCTCGGCTGTTCCATCTTCTAAACTAAGACAAAGTTATTAAGGAATAATTTTAAAAAAATCTTAAAGCCAGCTTTTATCATTCATATAATTATCAGGCTTTTTCTTAAACTTACGTAAATTTACTGCTTCCACAATATCCGAAAGCAACCCATTCCAAAGGCCAACCATCCTATTAAAAAAATAAAACTGCCTTAGATGAAGATGACTCCTACCCTGCCAAAATTTATATTTGTGTCCCCTAGTCCTCTATTCTCACGGTTAAGTATGAAAAAAAAAAGATAATGCATCAAAACTATAAATTCCCTTGACAATCTTAAACACCTCAGTCAGATCCCCCCTACCTCTTCTTTTTTTCAAGAGAAAACAATCTGAGAGATTTATTTCAACCTCTCCATCCCAGGCACCATTCTAGTAACCCTTTCTTAAGGTAAAAAGCCTAAGACTGAACATAATATTCCAAAGGTAGCTAAACTAGTCACCTATACAATGAAATTATAACCTCTTTAGACTTGTGTTTAGGTTGTAATGTAGATACAACCTAAAATCCTATTTGCCTTACTACCAGCAACAGCACACTGCTTGGATGGCTTAAAAGACTGATCAACCATTACACCATGATCCCTTTCTTTAATAACACTGTTAAGGCTATTCTCATCAAAATTATACCTATAATTCAAATCACGATAACCCACATGCATTATTTTGTATTTATTATAATTAAAACCCATTTGCCATTTATTTACCCAACTCACTAAGTGATCTAAATCCTTTTGTAAATCAGCAG